GCCTACGGAGGTCAGGAGAGGGTTTAGATGCCCTGGGAGAGGATTGCAGGTGGTGGAGACAATGAGGGTGCAGGAATCCACCTCAGTGGTCGGAAGAGCAACCAGTGCTCCTGACTGACTGTGTGAAGAGAGTCAGTGCTCCTGACTGACTGTGTGAAGAGAGTCAGTGCTCCTGACTGACTATGTGAGGAGAGTCAGTGCTCCTGATTGACTGACTGTGTGAAGAGAGTCAGTGCTCCTGACTGACTGACTGTGTGAAGAGAGTCAGTGCTCCTGATTGACTGACTGTGTGAAGAGAGTCAGTGCTCCTGGCTGACTGACTGTGTGAAGAGAGTCAGTGCTCCTGACTGACTGACTGTGTGAAGAGAGTCAGTGCTCCTGACTGACTGACTGTGTGAAGAGAGTCAGTGCTCCTGATTGACTGACTGTGTGAGGAGAGTCAGTGCTCCTGGCTGACTGACTGTGTGAGGAGAGTCAGTGCTCCTGACTGACTGACTGTGTGAAGAGAGTCAGTGCTCCTGACTGACTGACTGTGTGAAGAGAGTCAGTGCTCCTGACTGACTGACTGTGTGAAGAGAGTCAGTGCTCCTGACTGACTGACTGTGTGAGGAGAGTCAGTGCTCCTGACTGACTGACTGTGTGAAGAGAGTCAGTGCTCCTGACTGACTGACTGTGTGAGGAGAGTCAGTGCTCCTGACTGACTGACTGTGTGAAGAGAGTCAGTGCTCCTGACTGACTGACTGTGTGAAGAGAGTCAGTGCTCCTGACTGACTGACTGTGTGAAGAGAGTCAGTGCTCCTGACTGACTGACTGTGTGAAGAGAGTCAGTGCTCCTGACTGACTGACTGTGTGAAGAGAGTCAGTGCTCCTGATTGACTGACTGTGTGAAGATGACTGACTGTGTGAAGAGAGTCAGTGCTCCTGACTGACTGACTGTGTGAAGAGAGTCAGTGCTCCTGACTGACTGACTGTGTGAAGAGAGTCAGTGCTCCTGACTGACTGTGTGACTGTGGCTTCTTTAAATGAAGAATACTTTACTCTTAGCCGTAGTTATCCTGTTGATAAAGTTCCAGAATGTATTCTTATCTGACGGCAACTTTGATCATGTTAACAACTTCTCCCCGACCCTCACTGCTCTCCAGCCTCTGAGATCCACTGTCTGTGTCTATACTCGTGAGACCAAGCTTCCAAGTCTGCAGAGACAGAACATGGGGCACCTATCTTTTCTGTGTGGGGGTTACTTCTCTTAGCATGATTCCCTCCAGGTTCATCCATTTCCCAGCAAATTACAGGATTTCACTCTTTAAAAATGGCGGATCGGCCCTCTGTTGCACATTTACACATTTTCTTTATCCGTTCCGAGTGAAAGCAATTATGTTGTTTATTGTGAATAGTGTGGTAGCCACGGGAGTGCAGGTGTCTCCTCAAGGTTCTGCCTCCGTTCCCTGCCGGTAGACACCTGCAGTCAGATGCTGAACCCCTTCTCTAATGGTGTGAATGATCCCCCTTCTTCTCCAGCCTCAGCAGCCTGTGCCGGTTTTCCGTCACCGCGTGTCTAACTGTGACGGGTGACACCTGCCGCTGGGATCTGCGTCTCCCCGATGACCGGTGATGCTGATGCTGAGCATCCTTCCATCCTTGCCTGCCCACTCAGGTGCCTTCTTTTGAGACGTCTATTCAGGTGAAAGTCCACTTTTATTGTTGTATCAGATGGAGTTTGCAAATACTTCCTCCATCCTTTAGGTTTCTCTGCACACTGTTAATTATTTCCCTTTCTGTGCAAAAGATTTCAGTTTGATGCAGTCCTATTAGTCAACCTTTGGCTTTGAGCTTTGTGCTTTTGTGTTACTTAAAAACACAGGCCAGGGGGATGGGCCCCTGGGTAAAGATGCTAGCTGCCAAGCCTCATGACCTGAGCTTGGCATCTCCAACCTCCACGGTGGGAGGAGAGAACCAAGTCTGCAACTTGTCCACCGCCTTCACATATATTCTGTGGCACACACACGCGCACACACACACACACACACATGCACTCACACATGCACGCACGCACACATACACACACAACTGTAATAATTCGAAAAAAAAACTTCTCATAGTCAATTTCATGAAATATCTCCTTTGCTTTCTTTAGGTGGATTCAGGCTTTAGTCTCATATTTAAGCCTTTGACCCATTTTAGTTGAGTTTTAGTGATGAAAGACATGGGTGTGATTTAATTCTTTTGCATGTAGACACTCTGTTTTTCTAGCAGCAGTTATAGAAGAAATGGTCCTTTCCTGGACATATGTTCTTGGTGTCTTTGTGAAAATCATTTGCCTATAAATGTGCATATTTATTTCTGGGTTCTATATTGTGTTTTTTATATGTGTTTATATGCCAGTACTCTCTGTAGTATGTTTTTAAAGTCAGTGGGGTAATATCTCCACACTTACTCCTTTCCTTGATATTTTTAGCTGTTTGAGGTGTTCTGCGGATCATCTGTATGACGCTGGAAGAGATGTTTGCCTATGTCTATAAAGAAGATTGGCATTTTGAGAAGACTTGCATGGACCATGTAGATCACTTTGCATACTGAAGGCATTTTAGCGATGTTGATTTTTATGGTCCATAAACATGGAGTACTTCCTGTTGACTATATTCTTCTCAATCATTCTTCAGTGTTTAACAGTTCGCATCATAAAGAGATGTATGTGTTGGTTGAATTTAATCTTAGAAAGCTTGTTTTTAACTGCTTATTTTGTAGCTTACACAATGGATTATTTTCTTATCAGATTTCTGTATGCTGATTCTTTTTTTTTTATGAAACAGGGTTTCTCTGTGTAGCTTTGGAGCCTATACTGGCACTCGCTCTGTAGTTCAGGCTGGCCTCCAACCCACAGACATCCACCTGCCTCTGCCTCCTGGGTGCTGGATTAAAGGCATGCGCCACCAATGCCCGGCATGCTGATTCTTTTTTTTTTTTTGTGGTTTTTCGAGACAGGGTTTCTCTGTATTGTTTTGGAGGCTGTCCTGGAACTCCCTCTGTAGACCAGGCTGGTCTCGAACTCACAGAGATCCGCCTGCCTCTGCCTCCCAAGTGCTGGGATTAAAGGCGTGCGCCACCAACGCCCGGCTATGCTGATTCTTTTTATTGTGCAATTTTACTGAATTTATAGTCTGAGGTTTTTGGCAGAGTCGTTATTTTTTTATATGGATGAAAATATCATCTGCAAGTAATGTAATTTGCCTTCTACCCACTTTAGGTGTCCTTGGGTTAAAATGTGATATTTTTGCACAATAAAAAATAGTACTAGTGTTTGTGTTTTTATCATTTTTATTTTTCACACTTAGTGCACACAAATCACTTTTAAGATATAATTTCATATTTAACTTAAAAATAATAAATTTTAGCCAGGTGTGGCAGTGTGCAACTGTAGTCCCAGCATTTGGAAGACAGAGGCAGGTGGATCTCTGTGAGTTTGAGGCCAGGTTTGCCTATACAGTGAGTTCCAGGATGGCTAGAGCTACAGAGAGAAACCCTGTTTCAAAAAAGCAGAAATAAACAAATAAATAAACAATAAATTTCCTTTATAAAACTAATAAGAAATGTGCTAATTTATTTCCTATGTTCCCTGACTGAGAAATGGTCAGAGGACTCTGTGTCACAAGGTCAGAGAAATGGTTCCTATACTGTAGAGGCTGAAGCACTTTCGTGAGTCCTTGGGTGGCCCAGCTGGATCTCCAAGTTGTTATAGCAACCCTTATGTCGTGAGATGCCTCGTCCAGGCTGTACAATGTGGCCACTGCGACCAAGCAGACTGCCGCTCAACCACCTCAGCCTGTTTCCTCTGTCCAAATCAAGTTATGTCCGTGAAAGCATGGCTTACTAGAGCTTTCTAAACCACCCAGTGATAAGGACTGTAAAAATTTCTGTAGACTAGCTGATTATAAAGAAAACAGAACTACTTTGAGAATACACCATGAGACTTGGGGGCTCAGAAATCTTTATTATCTTGATAAAATCCAGGTTCAGCTGACAGCTGGTGACATCAGGTACAGCTGTTGTTCTACAGATGGCTCTCTCCCGTCTACCCACATGGCTTTGCACGGACACCTCTGCCGTCACCCTGAGACTATGCCACAGTCGGTAGGTGTGGCACATGACACTGGCACCGTGCTGGAAGAAACGCTTCTGCTTCCTGCCAACTTAGGGTTGCCTTGGCCTTTCCAGCAGGAGCGGTGGTCTTTGCTGTTGTTTGTCTACGGCTGCCTTGGCCTTTCCAGCAGGAGCGGTGGTCTTTGCTGTTGTTTGCTAGTTTTTGTTTTTGGCGTGGGAAAGAAAGAGGAGTCTGTGAGCTGCTCCAAGAGAGAGTTTATTAAGTACTAGTCATTCTTTTTTCTTTGTCTCTGCAGAAGAGAATTTATTTGAGAATATGGACACAGCTAACTTGAAGTCAGTTTCAGTTTGTACATAATGCATTAATTTGCCAATTTGTCAAGGGTTAGTTTCCAAAATAAAAGTAAAATAACTGTGATACCCCACAACATGGATTTGAAAAGTCATCTTTTAATAAGAAGGAAAGAAATTACCAACATTTCCATGAGCAAATGTGTTCTATAACTTTCTATCTCAAAGATGTGGAACTTCTAGGGATTATGTTTGAAGAGCTGTTTCGCTGTTGGGCTTCCCACAATTGGTTCATTCTGTTTTTAGAGCCTGCAGCTACTTTGTATGGACATTTTAGGATTCAAGCCGTGTTAAGATTATTGCTCTTACCTATGCAATAAACAGACAATTTCTTTAAGGTATTATATTATTTTTTATTTTATTTTTTGAAACAAGGGTCTCATGTAGCCAAGGATGACCTTGAACTTCTGATCCTTCTGCCTCCAGCTCTTGAGAGCTGAGGTTACAGGTGTGCACCACAACACTCTGTGTTATGTGACGCTGAGGTACTTGAACTAAGGGCCTGGATCATGCTAGGAAAGCATTTTATCAATTGAGTTATACCCCTAGCTTATATCACTTTTTATTTGTATCAAAACATACTGAAGAGTGAGTTCTGAGATGAAAAAGACCATTTGCGTTTTACACCTGCTTTTAATCTTTGTCCACAGTTAAACAAACATACACACAAGTGCATTAAAAACGTGGATTTTTGAAGGCCCACTGTGTGCAAGTCATTTTTTTAGTATCAAAAACACAAAAATTAAGCTACCTGTCCACCGAGAATACACACACACACACACACACACACACACACACACACACACACACACACACCCCATAGAGATGAAAACAGATCCTACAGAGTGTAACTGAGTTGATAGTGAATTATGCCAGAGAATGGAAGAAGGTGGTAGTATTTGCTCAGGGTCTTGAAGAATGGCTGGAGATTCTCTCAGTAAGCCTTACCCAAGGGGAGTAGGTATGGTGATATACTATTGTTTATGATTTAATAAAGTCACCAGAGATCAAAATGCAAAGCTAGCCACAGCTATAGAGCCAGGGAGTGGAGACGCACACCTTTAATTCCAGTCGCCGCACTAGGTAGCCAGAGAAGCTGGCAGCGACGGTGCACGCCTTTAATCCCAGCACCAGGGAGTGGAGACAGGAGAGATAAGGCTGGGTGGAAAAGGAATATAAGGCAGGAGAAGACAGGAGCTCAGGGTTTTTGCCTCTGAGGACTTGTGCAGACAGGATGGCTATTCAGCTTGGTAGAGGTAAGATCTACTGGCTTGGCTGCTGTGCTTCTCTTGTCTTCAACCTAATATCTGTCTCCAGGTCTTTACTTTTCATGTTACAAGTAGGCATTCCACTTCCAGAGAACACAGTTTACAAAAGCATGAAGGCCTGAAATGTGAAGTAATCCAGGACAGGAATCGCTGGAATTCATGGCGGAGATCAGGCATGGCTTCCACTCTGTGGTTGGCTGGCCTCTCATTTGCCTCTCCAGTTCTCCTCTTAGTCCCTGCTTCAGCTGCCAGGCCACAGAGCTCTGTGTGGCGTTAGTGCTTCCGGCCTTTGAGAAGGTAATTTCCTACCTGAAAGGACTACAGCTGGTGCCTGTGTGTGCGTGAGTGTGCATGTGAGTGTGTGTGTGTGCATGCGTGTATGTGACTGTGCGCATGAGTGTGTGTACACGTGTGTGCGTGAGTGTGTGTGCGTGAGTGTGTGTGTGTGTGTTATTCCCTCCCAAAACCCGCACTGCCCAGTCTGATCACTCCCACCATTCACTGAGGTTTATTACTGAAGTCTTCATGGCTGTTTTCAAACTAAATCTGTCCTTGAAGAGTGAGGCTGGGCAGAGAGTTGGGATGCTTAAGTCCTGAAAGCAACCCTGAGATGGATTTTGCCAGGGCTGATTGACAGATTTTTTAAAGATGATTCCCAGAGCACTGGAGAGATGGTCTAGAAGCTCAGAGCATTTGTTGCTCTTGAAGAGGACCTGAGTTCAGTTCCCATCACCCACATGGCATTTCACAAACCCTCTATAGCTCCAGTTCCAGGGGACCTGAAGCCCTGGGTACCAGGCTCATATACAATACATATATGGAGGCAAACACTTAATGCACATAAAATTAACTAGATCTTTAAAAATGTTTTGAATATTCCTTCAGATGTACAAATTCTGATGTTTGAAAACAAGCTGCCTGCTGTGCCTCATTTCTGTATGTATCTGAGAGGCTGAGGGAGGAGACATCTGAGCCCAGGTGTTTGGTGCCAGGAATTCACCACACATTGATGGTCAGGACTGAGCAATCAGTAGTAGGAACATGCCTGTGACTAGCCTCATACTGTAGCCTGGGCCACACAGAGAGACCCCTTCTTTAAAAACAAACAGGCACTGTTAACTTCTTAGGTGTGATAATGACATTTTGGGGATCATTTTTAAAAAGCCATTCTTTGAAGAGCAATGTACTACGATAATAAGGATAAAATTATGTGGGATCTCCTTTTAAAGTAATCCTGAGAGAGGAGGCGAGGGAAGTGTGGGGATATGGATGAACCAATATCACTTACGTGTTGGTAGTTTATTATACCAGCCTATTTTTGCAAATGTTTGAAACATTCAACAACAAAAAGTGAAGCAAGCTTGCAATTTGTTCTTGAAGCTGGGGATGGAATAATTGCTTCCAGGGATATAAAGATAGACGACATTTAAAATTGTTTCTTTTATTTTTGAGATTATAGTTACAACTCTCCCCCTTCCATTCCCCCTCAATATCCTCCTATATACACATCTTCTTGCTCTCTTTCAGATTCATGACCTCTTTTTCATTAATCGTTGCTACACATCATATATATGCCTAGATGTAACCTTATCGGCCTGTATGATGTTACTTGTATGTATGTTTTCAGGGCTGGCCATTTGGCGCTGGGTAGCCGGTGGGTGCGCTCCTCCCTGGGGAGGACAATTTCTCACGCTCTCAGCGCTCCTCAGATGTCTGTCCTCATCTGTGTGAGACTGAGACTCTGTGGTCTTCTCTCATCTACTTTGGCGTTTCTGTTGCTGTCCTTGTTCAGCTCATGTTCAAGCAGTCATGCTGGTGAGACTTTATGGATGTAGCTCTGACATTACGAGGAGACACAGGCGATGGTGGCGCATGCCTTTAGTCCCAGCACTCGGGAGGCAGAATCAGGCAGATCTCTGTGAGTTCGAGGCCGGGCTGGTCCGACAGCTTCCAAAACAATACAGAGAAAACAAAACAAAACAAACAAACAAACAAAAAACCAAGGAGACACAGTCTCATAGCAAACTCTCTGATCCTCTGGTTCTTACAGCTCTGCCCCCACCTCCTTCTACAAGGTTCCCTGAGCTTTATGTGCAAGAATTATTTTGCAGATATATTCACTGGGACTGGGCGCTACAACTCTGTATTTTGACTGGTTGTGTTTTTCTGTAACAGTCTCCATTTTTTGCAGAGAGATTTGTTTCCTTGGTGACGGGTGAGGGCTACACTTACCCGTGGGTATAAGGGCAAATATTAGTGCAGTTAGGGATTATGCTGGGTTGGCAAAGTGGTGATATAGGTTATCTCCCAGGACCTAGTACTTCACTATCCCTGGGTACTATTTCTCTTGCTGGGCAGGTCTTGTGTCCCATTGTGGAGCTGTTGGTTACAGACAGGATGTGTGCACCTCTGTCTAATTACCATTATTGTGTTATGAGGATCGCTGTTGTGGTTCACAGGCATCTAGTTGGGAAGGACTGTTGGCTGCTTCTCTCCTCTGGAAGCTTGCATGGTGCCTTTTGGTACCATGAACGCTAGTTTCAAGAAGGAGGCCTTCAGGTCAGAGCCCTGTGATAGACTGCATCTTTTCTTTTTTCTTTTTTACAGAAGGGCTTAAAACCTACAGACTTTAATATACCAAAGTGCTTCCAACTCTAATTACTAAATAAATGTGTTACAATTTGCTCCCTTTTTGGAAAACATTTCTAGAACATGACCTAAGACTGCCTATATCTGAATTGTGCAGCGTGCTAGTTAAACATGCAGATTCCTGCCCTGTATCAGAGACACCTTGGATCCGAAGCCCTGGAGGGGAAGCCTCAAAGAGGATGACTGGGCATGTTTTTGGATTGATAGCCAACCTGGCAAGGCCAAGGACAGTATGTCACCACTGTACCGGACTGTCTCCTTTAAAACTGTATTCGTTGTTTCACAAGAGCATCTTGTGCAAGAAGAAACCTTACATTTTGGAGTGAAAATTTAGGAATAGTAGTTATCAGAATCCCTATCAATTCTAGAATAAAGGAAACTAGCAACATATAACATCTGTGCAGTTTCCAGGGCAGTTTGCTGCTGCTGCTGCTGTTTTTTTTTGTTTTGTTTTGTTTTGTTTTGTTTTGTTCGTCTTTTGAGTCAGGGTTTCTCTGTGTAGCTCCGGCTGTCCTGGAACTCACTCTGTAGACCAGGTTGGTCTGGAACTCAGAGATCCATTTGCCTCTGCATCCTGAGTGCTGGGATTAAAAGAGTGAGATACCACTGCCTGGTCAAAAAATGTTTTGAATTTTGTTTTGTTTTCAGGACAGGGTTTCTCTGTGGCTTTGGAGGCTGCCCTGGAAGTTGCTCCTGTAGACCAGGCTGGTCTTGAACTCACAAAGATCCGCCTGCCTCTGCCTCCCGAGTGCTGGGATTAAAGGCGTGCGCCACCACAGCCTGGCCCCCCCCAAAAAAATGTTTTAAGGGTGTGGAGTTCTGGATGTTCAGTGTTTCTCTGCAGTACTAAAAAGCTAACTGTGTGAGGATACTTTCCCGTCCCTCTGTTATGCCCTCGCCCCCCCCCCATTGTCTCACTTTTAGAGAAAGGCCCTTCCTTATACTAGTCTGACTACGTCGTCTCCCGGGCAGAGAGATCTATGGGATCCAGTGGGCTAATGAGACTCACAGTGCCGTGATGGAAATCATGCCGTGCAAGCAGCGAATGAACAGCCAAGGCTATTATGCTCCGACGGACTTCTCGTTGGCCTCTATGAAACTGCAGGGCGTTCTAAAATGGCCTGTAAAGTAATGCGCTACATTTGCTTGTTTCAGACAGGTGCTCGGGCTGACTGCCCTTGAACTCACTCGCTAGCCCAGGGTAGCCTGGAGCTCCTCCTTCCTGCACTTCCTGAGACCTGAGTTTTGGGTCTCGTGTGACCATGCCTGGTTTAACTGATGGATGGCCAGAAAGAGTTTCCATGGTCTGTCCCAGGGTTTGGGCATCACTCTGGCACACAGAGCAATGCAGGGCAGCTTCTCTTTGCTCCACTTGTGTGGCAGCTTTTCCTCAGAAGTCACACAGATAATTGAGCAGGAAAAGTTAGAGGGTGAGACTCAGGTCGGCGCTTGTCTCAGTAAAATTATCTATAGACACTTGGCCCGATCTTATCAAAACGACAAGGTCCATGTCATCTGTAGAGACTTTTCTTCTTAATATAATACACATGTATACATATAAATATATAAAATATATTCGTGTTGTTGTTATCAGTAGCCAATAATAATTGAAGTAACTCAATTTAGAAGTGTGCTCTCTCTCTCTCTCTCTCTCTCTCTCTCTCTCTCTCTCTCTCTCTCTCTCTCTCTCTCTCATGCGAGCGAGCAGACCAGAGGTCAACCTCAGGAGTCTTTCTATCGTTCTCCACCTCCTTTTCT